ATTAGAAATGGCACAGAGGAAGTCATTCGTGAGATTTCTAGCCTACGGCAATTTTAAGATATTTTTAATATTTAGGATTTTAAAGAGTATTTTGTGTGAGTATAATTTTATGTTGAAAATGACACATCATAATTTAGATCTTTTTCTCTGAAGTAGAGCTAACATTTTATAGTCCCTATCATAAAAATCTCCCAATCAGAAGGAATGGGTATTTTGTCTTAATACCGTCACTTGGGGAGTTGCAGTGGAACAATTCCAGGATGGCTAATGCCCAGACTGGAAACTCAGATCGTTAAGACAAGATTCAGGGCATATTTCCCACCTTCAGGAAGCTGTTTCATCAGGTGGGGACTTAACAAGCATCATTTGGTGTGAACAAACACCCCCCCCCGCTGAACCAAAATAATTTTGGGTAACACAGTAATGTTAAGAAAAAGAGGTATTACATAAACACAGGGTCAAAATAGCTCAGTAAATGACTCCTGCCGAAGGTTTCCAAAGTTTAGAGTTCATCACAAACTGTGGTTGTTATGTATAAGGCCTCTCTGCTACAGTGGGTCGCAAGCCTATGCAAGAGCACACTTCCGCAGGAGTTCAGGGTACAGAGTTGGATGGCACATTATTTAAACACTCTGAAGGAAAGAGGTCCTCATGCTTGGAGGCCACTGAAGAAACACTAAGACCTCCTTTGGTCCTATCTGAGAGCATTTAAAATCGATTGAAGGTGTTTTTGAGACAGTCTTTGGCTTTTTGGGGGGGTGGGGCAGGGCCTCCTGTATCTTGGGTTGGCTGTAAACTCATTGTGCAATCTAGGATGACTTTGAAATGTTTTCATTTAAATTAACTACTTAATTTTTATTGTTTGTTTATTTAGCAGGTTTGTGTGGTGGTGGGCACATGTATGGAGGGCTGTGTGGTGGTGGGCATGTGTATGGAGGGCTGTGTGGTGGTGGGCACATGTATGGAGGGCTGTGTGGTGGTGGGCACATGTATGGAGGGCTATGTGGTGGTGGGCACGTGTATGGAGGGCTGTGTGGTGGTGGGCACGTGTATGGAGGGCTGTGTGGTGGTGGGCACGTGTATGGAGGGCTGTGTGGTGGTGGGCACATGTATGGAGGGCTATGTGGTGGTGGGCACGTGTATGGAGGGCTGTGTGGTGGTGGGCATGTGTATGGAGATGTATGTGGTGGTGGGCACATGTATGGAGGTCAGATGACAATGTGCAGGAGTCAGTTCTCTCCTTTAACCATGTGGGTTTCTGGGATCAAATTCAGCCGTCAGCCTTGGTGGAAGATGTCTACTTGCTCTGCCATCTCACTGGCCCAAGTCTTTGCTTCTTAACTGTACCACTTCCGACATTTGCCACAGGGGAGGGGTGCTTAAAACTAAGAAAATGGACCACTGGCGTTCTATTACTGACCATCCCTCCTTCCCGACTGTGGCCCAGCTCTGTCTGAAGTGGAAGACTTCCTGCTTGGCTGCCACTCAGAGCTCCCAGTGTTTCCCCCTACCTCTGTCTCCAGGCTGGACTACGGCAGGAGAAGTGATACCCAGAGAGGCTATGTGTGTGCATGTGTCTGTCATGTGTACATGTAAGTTATCGGCTTCCTCCGTTCTTCATCAGTCCCATTCAACTCCGTGAAAAGAACAGGAACGAGAGAGAGAGAGAGAGAGAGAGAGAGAGAGAGAGAGAGAGAGAGAGAGAGAGAAAGAGAGAGAGAAAGTGCCATTCCTCCAGGCAGAAAGAGCAGGTCTTTCAGAGAGGGATTGTGGTCAGCCAAGGAGCCCAGGGATGGAAAAGAGGAACCTGGTAGCCGGCTGTGGCTGTGCCTTCCCAGGTCCCTCCAGGCTGGGCAGAGGTGCTGGGGCCTGGGACATGCTCAACCCTGCCTGACCTGGGAGCATGGCCCCATGGGTGAAGACCATATGCAGAGGATGAGGCCTCGAGCTTCTGGGCCCCACTGCGGTACCTCTTTCTTTGTTTTCTAAAAGGCAGAAGCACCACACCTTCTCCTGGAGGTGGAGAGGTGGTCCATGAGGTTCACGACACTGTCCTACTCTCTTTCCTCCCAAGAGGAGGCACATCTCACGGGTAACATGAGAAAAACCACTGTTTCCCTCCCCCTCCCCCATAGGAGGATCATTTTGAACTCTGAAGCTTTGGAGTACCGAATCTTTTAGACACTGGGTGAGAAAAACCGTTGATGATGCCTTTCTCAAAGCAGAGTTGGAGTCTGTCTTCATTTCTGGATTGACCTGGAACAGCCTGGTGAGACACACATGATATACCAGTGCTCTGTCACAACTGTCCCTGTGGGCTCCCTAGGGTGTCGAGATGAAATCAGCCTGGTCCCGGAGAGACGGATGAGGACTCACCTCACAAAATGTGCTGTTTCCTGTTTAAGGATGGTGATGTCCTTCCTCCGTGATGTCTTCTTTTCGATAATCCAGAGGCAAAGCATCTATGTGGTCTTAGCACCCGGGAGCCAGGAGACCGTCATCTCCAGCTAGGTATCGAGTTTTGTTGGTTTGTTTTTGTGTTTTGGAAACAGTATCACTCTGTAGCCCAGGCTGGCCTTGAACTCATGGTGATTCTCCTACCTCAGCATCTCGAGTGCTGGGGTTACTATCTTGAGCATGGTTTTACATGCACATTTTTACCCAGTGCATGCCGAGTTTTCTGTGTGTGTTTCTCTGCTTCATACTGGCTGCCAGAACTCTTGGAACTACACTGCAGACACTTTCTGTTTTACCCTCACCAACCCCTTGCTTAAGCTGAATTTTTGTATTTGGTTTTTCTTGGCCTTGTTTCAACATAGGACCTTTCTTTATTTAATTTTGAGACAGGGTCTCATAAGCTGACCTGGCTTAGAAATGCTCTGTGTACCCCCGAGATGGACTTGCATTCCTGATCCTTCTCCTTCATCCTCCTGAGAGATGCCTTGTTTTTGACCCATTTCATCTGGCCAAGGTGTCTGGCTGCTCTCATCCTTAGTTACACAAACTTGGGGGCAAAGAAAGAAGCACCCACAAACCATTTGTGCCCTGCCTGACTAATAATATCCCAGCGGTGATTAAGCTTCCCACAGGGAGTTTTCTGGACAGAGGCCATGTGTTCATTAGAGGGGAATTGAGTCCTACTTCACTCTAGGTTGCTGCCTGGATCCCTTTAAGAGGCGTCTGTGTGTCCATCTGTAAGTCTGACCATGTTCGTCTCCTTTCTTCCTTCCATAACACACCTCAGATGCATTCACTTTCCTTCCTTCCTGTCTTTCTTTTCTTCTCCTTTTTTCCCTCTTGAGACAGGGTTTCTCTGTATAACAGCCCTGGCTGTCCTGGAACTCGCTTTGTAAACCAGGCTGGCCTCGAACTCAGAGATCTGCCAGCCTCTGCCTCCCAAGTGCTGGGATTAAAGGTGTGGACCAATTTCCAACTGGTAGTACTCCATCATTTTGCTTTTCCTGTCTTGTTCTCCCTTAGGGTCTCTGTGCTGTTTGCCTCTGTTTGGGACCCTCTCCCCCACCCCCCGCCCCCCAGCCTGCCTCTCTCTTATCCGTGACAGCCACAGCTGCACTTCTAAAGTACTGAGGGGTGGGCATGAAAAATAATGAGATCTTTGTAGGTGGCATCCTGGGACTGGTAGCTTAACAACAGCAACATCAACACCTCAGACATTTTAATTTTCAGTCAGAGTCGTGCCACAGTTTCAAGCTTTGCTTCCGGGTGAGCTGCTCACACCGTCTCTAGGATGCATCGATTGTCTTGTCATTGGGCTTGATTTCTCTGATTCCATTGTGATAGTTGCTATAATGTGGAATTTTTGATTCTGTCTGAATATTTTTGTTTGCCTTCCGAGCCTTCCTAGGGTTTTAGTGTTGTAAGGATAGAATCTGCCTGCCTGGGGTTTTGTGCATCGCCTCCCCCCCTCCCCCCCAGTATCAGGTCATAACAGTGTCCCAAAGTCCAGGTGTGCCCTTGGCTGCACCCTAGCACTGAATTTCCTTCTGTATTGTTGGCTCAAATGTCATTGGCTTTGTCCTTATGGCATTTTGAGTAAGATACTATCCTGGGCAGTAGCATTTGCAATGAATGATTCAGGACTTAGGGTGCAGGGGCATGGGATAGGAGGGTGGGGGTGTTAATACTTAAGGAGAATCAAACGGCCGGCTTGGGTGGCTCGGCCGTAGTCTTCATTGTTGCAGATGGTCTCTGCACCTGGCTAGCGCAGAGGGACCGGACAAGTACAGTCGTGTTTTTAGACAAATAATGAAACTCAGAGGAGTTCTGAAAACAGCTCAGAGTCCAGGACCTCCCAGCACAGGTGCTGCCATGTGTCAGTTGCTTGAGCTTTTGCTGTGGCTCAGCCTGTTCTTTTTAAACTGTTACTAATACTAGCAACACAGTCCATTAACAATAAAGCAGAGAGAAGCAGGGAACCCACCTACCGTCTCCAGCCAGGCTGGCCGTGAGCTCCTTGTGTAGCTGAGGACGTCCTGTCTCTCTGTGTAGCCCCAGCTGTTCTGGAACTCTCTGTGTAGACCAGGCTGGCCTTAAACTCATGGAGATTCATCTGCTTTTGCCTCTCGGGTGCTGGAGCTAAAGGCGTGCACCATCGGGCCTGGCAACCTTGAATTTCTGATCCTTCCAAATGCTGGGATCACAGGTGTACGCCACCATATATGGTTCTGTTCGTCACAGGGGATCAAAACCAGGGCTAGGCAAGTTAGTACTCTACCCGCTGACTCTGTCCTCGCCCGGAAGTTAAGTTTTAAGGTGCTTTGATCTAAGCTGAAATTAACCAAGACCAGTTAGTGCAGTGAAATTATTTTTTCTTCTGTTTCACTTCCTTATGGAACCATCCTGGTTTCCCTCTCTTCCTCCCCTCACCTGTTTGTAGGTGACTTGGGGTTGGAAACTGAAGGGAACGGCGAGAGAGAAATGATCCAAGAAGGATAAGAAAAAAAAAAAATTCAACACAAATCCAGCCATGCAGCAAAAGCCCACTTCTGCCTCTCGGCTGGGTAGGTTTCAGTCTCACGGAGGGAAATGCACATGTACACACGCCCCTAAAACCCACACAGACAAAACCCCTCCGTGGAGACGCCAGTGACAGGAAACTCACTTTTGCACAGGAACTTGCTAATCGCTTTTGTCACTCTCGGACTGTTCCTGCTGCCTTAGTCACCTCCGACTCCCAGGCCCACTGCCTCGGGCTGGGCTCTCCCAGTCCAGGGTTGCCGTCGGTCCTTCCAGCGTGACTCACTGGGAGCCGTGGGGAGGAGAGAGGGAGAGGTGGGTCCCAGGAGGACCTCACAGCCGCGACAGGCTTCAGCTACACCGACTTCTACATGGCTGTGAAGAGCAGCTTAGATTTCCGGAGTCAGTCATCTTGGTATTGAGACATCCGTTTGGCGTTCCATGACAGGTAAGGCTTTTGTCTCTTTAAAAATGATTCTTCAGAGTCCCGGGAATCTCTGTAATTTTGTTGAGATTTTTTCTTTTTCTTTTTCTTGAAGCTGTACAATGTAATGACCTCGTTTAATCCGTCGTAAAGCATAGACCAAACTTGGAGGTGGGGGTGTGTGCTGTGGATCCCCTCTCCAAAGTCTTAACAAGACACAATTATGTTTTCTTGTCGTTTTGCTTTGTTTTTGTTTTGAGGTGGGGTCTCGCGTAGCCCAGGCTGGCTGATCTGTAGTCAAGGATGGCCTTGAACTCCTGTTCCGTCTGCTTCCACGTCACAAGTGTAGGGATTACAGGTGTGTGCCACCAAGCCTGGACGGTCACGCAGAATTCCGAGACATTAAAAATGTGATTGTCTTGATTTCTGAGGTGTTCTCGCATATAGAAAATGCCTGTTTGGGGGCCTGACTGTGTCTGCGCTTGCTTGTGTGAGGACTTTAAACACCACACGGTGGCTTTTGATAAAGAAAATCTAATGACCCTCCAACTTTCACAAGTAACAGTTTTAAAGTTATCTAGCTAGGTAAAGAAAATCAAAATAAAACTGTATAGATTTGGGTCCAGAATTGCTACCTAGTTGTCCTCAATGCTAATGGTCCCTTTCTATACCTTTCTAGATTAAATTTAGTTTCTGAGGTGGCTTCAACTGTCCATCGATTGCCTGGGTTGTAACAGCAGCATCAGCAACAACAAAAGCCCAGAATGTCACTGGTTTTAGGTACTTTACTACATTAATGTCACATTTGATATATTCAAGCAAGAAGTAGTTGATGACCACTCACCGGTTCTAAGACGGTGTGCATGAGAGAAGAGAAGTATAAGGACACCCATCCTGTGGTGAACCTTAGACTCTAGTAGCCGCAGTGAAAAGTACCGTTTGGGCAACAGTAGTCGAGGCAGCGAGGTGGCAGAGGCTTTCAGGGTCGTAGGGGCTCAAGAAGGGTGTAGGAGTGATCTGGAGCAGTTCTGCTCCATGACTTAAGCTCACTCATGACTGTTTTGTGACACCTCTTGGGCCTCCAGCATTGTCCCTTAGTACAATGTGGATGCAGAGAAAGGCCTGTGGGAAACCTCCGTGTCTGGTTTTCCCATTTTAAGAAGACTTTCAATCATCTGGTAACGCAGGTGGCTTTCCTCACGGGAGGGTGAATCGGAGGATAAGCAAGTCTCTGTCCCTGTAACGCTCCTTCCAACATTCCGTGAGCTTCCCTTGTGCAGAGAGCGAGCCGTTTTGGCCACACGGCTGCTGTTTCCACGGACTTTCCTTTAGAGAGACAGGAGAATGATTCCTGGACCGCGAAGGTTGTGTTCGTCTAAGGAACACAGGACGATGAGCAAGAACTTGGAGCCCATGTTGAACCCTCGCTCTATTATTTCTGGGCTGTGGGAACCTCAGATAAGTCACTGAAATTCTTCAATCTTCCTATTTTTTTTTTTTAAATGATAAGACAGCTCGAAGAACAGCAGTAATAACTGAAAACCATTACCTCAAAAGGTTGTTGAGATAAAATATACAAGGTGCTTAGCTTAGTGTCCAGCTTACCACAAACTCTCAAAGGTCAGCCCTTGTAAAGACTTGGTGACGGACACAAATGAAGACGATCTGATTGCTGGCCTGAGAGCAAGCTGTCTACAAACTTGCCTATTTAAACACAATATTCCTTTTAAGGGATTTACATTTTTGAGCACTGGTTACTGACTAGACCCAGGGTTTAGACATTTTATAGTGTTAACATGTGAAAAAAAAAAGATCATGTTAGAAAGTGGTGTTTTAAGCTTTCTCACGCCAGCTCTTCCAACTGCCTAGAGAGCTCTTTTGAGCATCTGCAGATGTTTGTGAACATCTGGATGGAAGTCTGAAGGCTGTGGGTGGAATTGCAGAGGTTCTTGGAATCTGAGGCAGAGAGAACAGTTTATTTCTTGGCCTAGTTTAAGTTAAATCATATAATTTTAATATTTTAGTTGCAATGCTAGCAAGATACAGCTGAAAATCCATTCCTCCTCCACAGCTGGGATAGTTTTGACCAGAAGTTCTTGAAGTGTTGCTCCAGGTCTGGGTGCTTAGGTCCCGTCAAAGCCCAGGTTCAAAGCTCCTTGCTTTCCCTTTCCTCTCTAAATTACAGGTTCCTCTGGATTAGAAAGGCCTCCTTTTAGAAGTCCAGTGACAGACGGCATGCTAATTAGGAAGCTGATTCTCAATTATGTGTCAAGATTAGTCAAGTAGCGATATTGTTTTCCTTGTAGCGACCTTCTGAGAATGTGAGGGAGGAGATTCTGGGGGCTCTAACTAGAGATAGAGAGGGACAGCAGCCAGAAGGGGGGCCCTGGATGGGAATTGATGGCAGCACGGTAATATTAGGGGATGAGTTGGTCAGAGAGAGAGGGAGGCCTTAGGTGATGGAAGGCGTGGCTAGAAGGAAGGGGAGGGAGTGCCAGAAACAGCTGGCCTCTGGCCTGGCCTGCCATGTCACCCCAGCAGCTGCTCCACCGACCACTTGAACCATCTCTGGACTCGGAACTGTCCTGCTGTTCCGGGATACAGACAGCTGTCGTTAGTCTGGTTCTGACTGGACCTGGAAACCATGTGGAGAGCTTGAATTCTTACGTACCACAGCCCTGGCATGTGGCCCAGGAATCTGTGTGATCAAAAACGCAAGCCCTGAAATGACATGGCCTTACATTGGCTTTACAGAAGGTGGTCTAAGAACCATTCAGCAAAGCTCTCTCTTACCAGTCCCCAAACGCCAAGATGGTAGCTGGAGACAGTGCTTGCTGCAAGGAGGGGGACAGCCCTCTCTCTGTTGTGACTGACAGTGGAACACGGAAGAGGATCTTCCTTTGTCCTGAATTTGTTCCTTGAGATAAGTTTCCGGTGGTGAAAGGGTGTGGGCATTTTTAGCTCAATGCTATTTTCATAAAGTACCTTATTAACTTCTAGAGCAGTGGTTCTCAACCTTCCAAATGCTGTGACCCTTTAATATAGTTCCTCGTGTTGTGGTGACCCCCAGCCATAAAGTTATTTTGTTGCTACTGTAATGTAAATATCCAATATGCAGGATATCTGATTTGCAACCCCCGAAGGGGTCATGACCCACAAGTTGAGAGTCATTGCTTTACGGTGTTGTAGGCATGTAGAAGCAGACAGCGTTCCTCTGGAGGAGCGCAAAGGAAGGGATTTACTAGCAAGGAGAAAGTGTCCAATCATCTCCTCTCTTTCTTTTCCTGTAGACTAGAATGGAGAAAGTGTCCAATCATCTCCTCTCTTTCTTTTCCTGTAGAAGGGAATGGAGAAAGTGTCCAATCATCTCCTCTCTTTCTTTCCCTGTAGACTAGAATGGAGAAAGTGTCCAATCATCTCCTCCTTTCTTTTCCTGTAGAATAGAATGGAGAAAGTGTCCAATCATCTCCTCTCTTTCTTTTCCTGTAGAATAGAATGGAGAAAGTGCCCAATCATCTCCCCTCTTTCTTTTCCTGTGGAATGGAATGTTGGGAAGAAATTTCCAGAGCACTGCTGAGTGCTCCATGGCTTCTTCTGGTGTCAGCTGAGGCCTTCTCATCTTGCCAGTTAGTTTCTGGTAAAACCGAAGTCAGCAGTGACCTCTTCCCCATTTCCTAGAAAAGAAAACCAAGGCAGGTGGAGCCTGGTGAGGTAACGGCCTCGTTCCCACCGCAGCCCTACGAGCTGTGCATTGTCACTCGGTTTATTGTCGGAGCAACTGGGTAGTTGCATACATGACCTCATGGAAGATGATGTCATGAAATAAATACATCCAGTGAGTTGGTGATTAATCAGGCCAAAAAACCCATAGTAAAACTCTGTCTTTTTTTTATGTTATATTGGTTAGTTACATAATCTGCTGACAAAAACCCTCGCTTGTTGAACAGATGAGAATAAGGTGAATTTTCAGTGCCTTTCATGAAAAAAAAATTGTACTGGATGATAGTGGCACATGCCTTTAATCCCAGCTCTGGGAGGCAGAGGCAGGCGGATCTCTGTGAGTTCAAGCCCAGCCTGGTCTACAGAGTGAGTTCCAGGACAGCCTAAGCTACTCAGAGAAATCCTGTCTCTAAAAACAAAAAGGAAAGAAAGAAAGAAAGAAAGAAAGAAAGAAAGAAAGAAAGAAAGAAAGAAAGAAAGAAAGGAAAGAAAGAAAGAAAGAAAGAAAGAAAGAAAGAAAGAAAGAAAGAAAGAAAGAAAGAGAACAGAACAAACTTGCTTTTGGGAAGTACCAGCTGCATACTTGCTGTGGTGTTCTAAAACCAATCCGTGCTAGCTTGCAAGAGCAGATTGTAGTATTTCCAGAAGTTTTGGAAGCCGCTCAAGTCACTGGAAGCTGTCGACCTGTATAATGGACGTGCTGTAGGATCATATGCTACATGACCATCTCTTCCTCTTCCTCTTTGTTCAGTGATCTTGTGTTGTTAGCTAGAAATCAGTCGAGGGAGACTTACATGACCGAATCAGCAAGCACAATATGCTGCCGAGAAAAGTGTGAGGGCAAGTTTGAACGCTCTGCTGCTTTTATGATGAATAAAATGTGAGCCGTCAGAAATGAAGGCGTGGGGCTGGAGAAATGGCTCAGGGGTTAAGAACACTGGCTGCTCTTCCAGAGGACCCGGGTTCAGTTCCCAACACCCACATGACAGCTCACAACTCTAGTTCCAGGGGATCTGACGCCCTCACACAGACATAAATGCAGGCAAAACACCAGTGCACATGAAATAAAAATAAACAATTGTTTTTTGATTTTTCGAGACAGGGTTTCTCCTGTAGTTTTGATGCCTGTCCCGGATTTTGCTCTGTAGACTAGGCTGGCCTCGAACTCACAGAGATCTACTTGGTTCTGCCTCCCGAGTGCTGGGATTAAAGGCATGCGCCACCACTGCCTGGTTAATAAATAAAAATTTAAAAGAGGCATTCATTACTATGCCTGGCCAATTTAAAAAAAAAGAAAGAAATGA